TCCATTATGAATGGCTGGTTACTGGTAGCAGGGTGATTTGTACATATAATAGAACGGAATCTGATGTAATTGTCCATGACAAGCACCTCAGCATTCTGTACACTGACAGAGAATCCATAACTCATGCTTATAAAAAATATATTTCTTTATGCCATGATATTTGCATGTATTTGCGAACAATGGCAAACAGAAAATCCATATTTTATAACCTTAATGTCGTTATTGCCAGTTGAGAATAGCGCCATCGTTGATCAAAACCAAGTACAAGAACGTTATTGAGGGTGTGCGCGCACAGCAAACTCCCTACACCGCGCTTGTGCACCTCTGTGAGCGCACCCTCCAGGGGTAATCGGTAGATATCGCGTGTGGGGAGTTTATAGATCCGGTATTGACTTGTCCCTAGCTTCTGTGTACCGGCTTGGAAGACACACTGAAGGAAAATGTGAAGCAAATATTTGCCCACCTTATTAAACATGTACATTTAGTCTAACACAGATTTTGCTGAAGTCTAAGCGAGACGAATAACTGTTAAATTGTTTCAATATTCGTACAAAATTATCAAAATAAATATAAATAAAAAAAAACTTTCAATACCTTAACATTAATTAGTGATGTGGTTTTGGAAAAAGAAATTGTTTTTGTAAATCTTAAGATCTTACTAATTTAAGGGCGGATCCAGCATTTTTAAAAGGGAGGGGTCCAAAATATCAAAATACAGTAAACTACGGTTATAACGAACACGCTTATAACGAACTGTCGGATATAACGAACTTGCTTTTTAGTCCCGACTATTTGCTGTAGTTATGCTGTATATATGCTTATAACGAACTACGGTTATAACGAACTAAAATTAGTGGTCCCTTTGAGTTCGTTATAACCGTAGTTTACTGTACTCTCTCAGTAATATTTACTGCATACAACATATTAATACATTATATTCGAAAGGGGGGTGGGGATGAGGTGGGTATGGTGGGAAGGGGGTTGTGGGGGTCCGGACAACATGTGGACAAGAGCATAGACAGTAAAACCTTTCAGTGATTCCCATTAAGACAACCACGCCTGTGCCTCGGTCAACAGAGCATACATTGTGTAAAAACCCCAGGTGTAATTACTGTACGTGTCAAGTGTAGACGGGTTCTTCAAATTGAGCTGTTTGATGTCACGTATGTCAACTCGCAAATAACGCGGTCGCCATGGTTACTCTAAAGAGGTACAGCCAAGTCACAGCTGGCCACGCCCGACTGAACAAGCCCGCAACAACATGCCACGTCATCCACGTGGACAGGCGACATTGACAACCTCCACTTCCTCAATGCCCTACTTCTGACGCCCCGTGCTTGGTGACACGTCTCCGCGCACGTATCCGCCATTGCTGGCAAGGCGTAGTTTAGATTCGAAAACTTAAAGATAAGTACATGCACTTTTCTAAACTTGATACCTTACGCTATATGGTATTCATTATATCACACATCTTTAATCATGCGGTGTATCCTCTCTCCTTTCTCGTACTGATAATAAATAATGGATGAAAACTACCCTCGATAATCGGGGCCGATAAGAACGTCTTTATTTCAATTCACAACCCACTTGAAATCAATGAGTTGAAATTAACTGTCTGAAACTACACTACAACTTCAAAAACACAAGTGCACTTATCCGACAAATACACTATGACACATTTCGTTTGTTGAATATGCATGGATCATGTTCATATTGAATAACATTTAAAACGTTTTGGACGGTCGATATTCCGCACGTTTGTTCCTCACCCCCATAAAACGTCTCGTGTGGATTGACTATATGCGGTACGTGGATGTGCTGCCTGCTGAAGGGCGACAGATGTCGCCTCTCCTGCACAAGTGGTCCACGCTTGTATTGGTTCTACATTGTCACAAATAAGTGATCTATTGATATCCTGTGTTAGACAGGATTACAATAATGTACCATGCGTCTGCTTTCCAGCACGCCTATGCCTTTAATTGTAATGTATAGCCCACGGTAACCGATACATATGTCATATCGGCGGAACGTATTAATCTGAACATAGACCAACGTATATATGCATACGACTCTTAAAGGTCGTATGATGTAATTTATAGAAGATAGAAGATGTTCTGTTCGATATTGCTGAGAGGAGCCCTCGCGACTCTGTGACCTAACCATATACCACACACTAGGCAGCTGTGCAACCACAGTTAAAGGGAGTTAACGCACAGAAACAAACACTGAGCCTTGGAAGATATAATACAGATGGGGGAGCGAACTAGTGGACACAGATAGGCGATGGAATTAAGATGAGGAGCGAACTATAGGACACAGATGGAAGATCGAATTATGACGAGGAGCGAACTATAATACACAGATGGAAGGTGGAATTAAGATGGAGGAGCGAACTATAAGACACAGATGGAAGATGGAATTATGACGAGGAGCGAACTATAATACACAGATGGAAGATGGAATTATGACGAGGAGCGAACTATAAGACACAGATGGAAGATGGAATTAAGACGAGGAGCGAACTATAGGACACAGATGTAAGATCGAATTATGACGAGGAGCGAACTATATTACACAGATGGAAGATGGAATTATGACGAGGAGCGAACTATAATACACAGATGGAAGATGGAATTAAGATGGAGGAGCGAACTATAAGACACAGATGGAAGATGGAATTATGACGAGGAGCGAACTATAATACACAGATGGAAGATGGAATTATGACGAGGAGCGAACTATAATACACAGATGGAAGATGGAATTAAGATGGAGGAGCGAACTATAAGACACAGATGGAAGATGGAATTATGACGAGGAGCGAACTATAATACACAGATGGAAGATGGAATTAAGATGAGGAGCGAACTATAATACACAGATGGAAGATAAAATGAAGATGGAGGAGCGAACTATAAGACACAGATGGAAGATGGAATTATGACGAGGAGCGAACTATAATACACAGATGGAAGATGGAATTAAGATGAGGAGCGAACTATAATACACAGATGGAAGATAAAATGAAGATGGAGGAGCGAACTATAAGACACAGATGGAAGATGGAATTATGACGAGGAGCGAACTATAATACACAGATGGAAGATGGAATTAAGATGAGGAGCGAACTATAATACACAGATGGAAGATAAAATGAAGATGGAGGAGCGAACTATAAGACACAGATGGAAGATGGAATTATGACGAGGAGCGAACTATAATACACAGATGGAAGATGGAATTATGACGAGGAGCGAACTATAATACACAGATGGAAGATGGAATTAAGACGAGGAGCGAACTATAGGACACAGATGTAAGATCGAATTAGGACGAGGAGCGAACTATAATACACAGATGGAAGATGGAATTAAGATGGAGGAGCGAACTATAAGACACAGATGGAAGATGGAATTAAGATGGAGGAGCGAACTATAAGACACAGATGGAAGATGGAATTATGACGAGGAGCGAACTGTGGGACACAGATGGAAGATGGAATTAAGATGGAGGAGTGAGCTGTGGGACACAGATGGCAGATTGAGGAGCGTCCTTTAGAACACAAATGATGGAGCAGCGTCCTGTAGAACACAAATGAAGATAGAGGGGCGTCCTGTTCAACAAAGATGGACGAATATGTTTAACCCAGACATTAAATAAAACGATATAAACAGTAGAGGTTGAATATTTTAGATTCTTTATACGTATTACGCCCCTGTCTGTTCAGGTCGAGTGAAGCCCTTGTAGACTTGTAACCCATAGCACAACACCGTCAATACTCGGCTCACAGATGGAGCACACGTGGTCCGAACGGCCACAGACAGCCTCCTGTTCCTCGCATAGAGGCACAGCCACGCTGGGAGACATCGCCGACATGGAAGGGAGATAACCCGTACTCTCAATTCCGGTATTGATGTAATTCTTGCCCTCAGACAAATGCTGGCTTATCAACAGTCGCTTATGCCCTGTTTCACACAAAAAACGTCTTCAATGTGGGCAGCTGTTGTTCATTTACCAGAATTATTCCGCCTCTAAATTTAGGGTTCCCTGTCCCTTTAACAATGCATCTCACACTGTCCCCTGTCATCGTCAGCTGCCATGCACAGAGGCATACTGTCTATATACAATGAACCACCTGTTACTCTCTTTATTTACAATGAACAGAAAAAGGTTTTGATATTTTTTTAGGATATTGTTTGTAGTGAAGACCAAACCACAAAAACATAAAGTATCCCCCAAAATATACTTTTGTGTTTAATATACCGTATGAAGAATAGGAGTCCCATATTATATTTTTTATTGATATTTGGCCAGTAGACACCGAGATGCTACTAAAATTAAGAGAGCTAAACACGACAGCCATAGATGGGTTACATTGCGATAGCTTTCTATGACGTGTACAGGCTGTTTGCAGGGGGCACGGGTGGCCCAGCTGCCTAAGGCGCTGCGATTCGTTGTGCAGAGTTGCGTCCCTTGGGCACGCCAGAAACCTATGACTATGAGTTCGAATCCCGGTTCGCCCTGGTTATGTTTCTAGGTTTGTCAGCACCATACCCGTGCTCGTGGGTTTCACCGAAGTGGTAAACGTCTGAGACCTGCATCACTTCGGGGTTTCCTCCCACATTAAGCTGACACGCCGTGAAATAACTGGAATAATGTTTAAGGCGGCGTTAATCCCAACTCACTTACTCACAGGCAGTTTGCAATTGTCCTACCGTGTCCTGACAGTGTCACGTGACCGATACCATGATTGTCCGGCATCTCCAGCACTGTTTACTGATATACTAACTTTCAGCGTCGACAGTTTCAAAATACGGCCTTGAAAACAACGCGAAAGGGTCCCATATGAAGCATGATATGTGATATGACGTCATAACATGCGAGGGTCGAGTTGTGTGCATCAGCTACCCTGGACAACCTTGGTTCAGATTGCGATATGGCTGTATCGTGTATCTAGGCAGACATTAATCAATGACAAAATAACAATACGACTATTAATCATGATCGTCACTCGTACGTCCCAGCTATGAAGTCCATAAATTCTCCATACTTGAAGCATCCGTACTTGAAGAGAGAGAGGGAGAGAGAGAGAGAGAGGGGAGGAGGAGGGGGGGGGGGGGGGGGGGGGGGGGGGGGGGGGGGGGAGAGAGGTAGAGAGAGAGGTCCTTGATCACATTCTTTTCACTGATAAAATTCACTGAGTGTGAAAGTAATTTATAAAGATCCGTATCTAATATTGTCGCTGGTATTTTTCAATACAATATTTCGTTAATTCAAACAATCTGTTGTAATATTTCATAACGCATATAATTAACTTCTGTTTATTAATAATACCTATCCCAGGATGTGACACGGCACACAGAAACTCCCTCGCATCCCCACATCTCACCTGGCAACACCCTCGCATCCCCACATCTCACCTGTCAACACCCTCGCATCCCCACATCTCACCTGTCAACACCCTCGCATCCCCACATCTCATCCGTCAACACCCTCGCATCCCCACATCTCACCTGGCAACACCCTCGCATCCCCACATCTCACCTGGCAACACCCTCGCATCCCCACATCTCACCTGGCAACACCCTCGCATCCCCACATCTCACCTGTCAACACCCTCGCATCCCCACATCTCACCTGTCAACACCCTCGCATCCCCACATCTCACCTGGCAACACCCTCGCATCCCCACATCTCACCTGTCAACACCCTCGCATCCCCACATCTCACCTGGCAACACCCTCGCATCCCCACATCTCATCTGTCAACACACTCGCATCCCCACATCTCACCATTCGATCCTGTTCTGTCTGCATCCATAAAATAGGCATTAATATTTCTACTTTTGTTGAGTTTACAAGGGAGAAGGAAACTATGCTTGATAGGCGATGCACTTCAAGGAGGTCAATGGTGATTTTATTAGTTTGAAGCAGTTGGCTTTGCTGGAGGATTTTAAGTAGTATGTCAACGGACATTCGGACATATCTTGCTTGATGAGCAGAAAGTGGATCAGTTGCACAAGGCTCTTCTTTGACTGACGGGGTTAGTTTTAAGCAGTCAGGGTTTACAGACAGGAGCTCGCAGCGTTACAAATCAGGAAAGTTCATCCTCTCCTAGATCTAGTTGTAACAAGTCTGGTTTTGAGTTTGTTGACAAAAAGTTCTACTCCAGTTGTTTCGAAAGATACTTCTTGATTTCCGTCAGCCTACTTGTAGATATCGCCGCACGCCAGGGCATATCATGTCTGAGTGTAGAAAGCTATCTTTCAAGAACAGTCATTCTTCCGCCAATGCTAATGAGGAGTTAGCTGTCACCAGTCATCAAAGTCTGTTGTTGTGAGAGAGGAATACTTACCTTTTATTAGTGAAGTTCCAATGTTACGCCCATTACCGTTTTGAGAGGTACTGGTGCTCTTCAAACTCTAATTTTGGATCGTATTTTGCCACTTTCTGATGAGTCATCCGCGATCCCTGGGGCTTTGTTATAGGGTTTATGTGATTTTACCAGTGCACCTCTCCATTTTGTGAATTCGAAGACAGATTTTGTAGAAACTCTACCTGTTCAAGGTGCAGACTTGCCTTTTAGGAATGATTTGGCAGGGGGATGTTTGGCTGATCCTGTTCTTTGTCCAGAGCCTAGCACGAGCAATCTTGAAAAAGAAATTCCAGGTATTTTTCCTTGGTGTGTTGTTACTCGTGCTATGGCTGAACAAAAAAATTCTGAGAATAAGTCCAGCTGTGACTGGCACTGTTTTGGATCAGGCTCTTGACCTGTCTAAATTTTCGAGTGAGAGTACTCACAAGTCTGACAATTTGCCTGGTAAGAGACCAGTTCTGTGTAGGGAGACGTTAGTGAAGTTACATGGGGAAGTCCCAGTTCTTACCAAGAGGGCACTCTCGTTTGAAGAAGCTGTCAAGGTTCCAGTATGTTAGTATGTCAAGGATAGTGTGTTGATGAGGAAATGGAGGCCGCCGGATGTACCTGCTGATAATGAATGGAAGATTTTCCATCAAATTGTTCTTCAAAATTCATATAGAAATCATGTTTTGAGTTTGGCACATGAAACTGCTTCGACAGGCCATTTGGGTGTAAACAAAACTTGTGACAATATTCTGGCCCATTTTTGGGGGCCTAATTTGAGGCGCGATGTTCCTGAGTTTTGCAAAACATGCCATGTGTGTCAAATGGTTGGCAAAAATAATCAGAAAATCCCAGCCGAACCTTTGAAACCCATTCCAGCTTTCACAAGGTTTCCAGAGGCTATTCATTTAACGGAATATTACAGCTCAGGTTCTCAAGATAAAGTTCTTCACCATGGTTGGTTTGCCTAAGACTATTCAGTCAGAATGGTTGGTTGGTTTTTCTGTTTAACGCCGAACTCAGCAACATTCCAGCTATATGACGGCGGTGTGTAAATAATCGAGTCTGGACCAGACAATCCAGTGATTGATATCATGAGCATCGATCAAAGCAATTGGGATCGATGACATGCATCAACCAAGTCAGCGAGCCTGACCCACCGTTCCCATTAGTCGCCTTTTACGACAAGCATAGTCACCGTTTACGGCAAGCATGGGTTGCTGAAGACCTATTCTTCCTCGGATCTTCTTAATCAGATCAGGGCTCTACTTTCATGTCATGTTAGGCATACCTCAGATTAAGTCTAATGCATATCATTCTGAATCTCAAGGAGCTTTAGAGGGATTCCGTCAGACTCTTAAGAATATGATAAGGACTTACTGTTTTGAGACTGAGAAGGGTTGAGATGAAGGCATTCATTTGTTGTTGTTTGCTGTGATGGTGTCAGCTAAGGAGTCAAAAGATTTTAGTCATTCGGATCTCGTCTTTTGCCATAATGTTCGTGGACCTTTGAGGCACTTGAAGGAGCATTGGCTTAATGATAAGTCTGAAAAGAGTTTGTTGGAGAATGTCTCATCATTCTGGGCTCTGCTGAAGTTGTGAAGCCTGTGAAGTTGCTAAGGATAACTTGAAGGAATCCCAGAGCAAAATGAAAGTACATTAGGACAATATATCTCAGAGAGAAATTGCAATCCTGGCGATAAAGTCTTAGTGTATTTGCCAATCACTGTTCAGCCATTGCGTGCTACCACTGTCCGTATGTTATTGACAGACACGTCCGTGATACAGGCAATCTTGTACAAGCACCAGGCTGTCGTAAAACGACAGCTTTGTCATGGCAATATGATTAGAAAATAGCACGAAGGAAATGACAATGTACCTACTCAGTGTGTTGCCACTGTTTCTCCTGTGGACGTTGTGTCAGATTGTGATACTGATGAGAATTGTGACTTTGTCAAGTTTGATGGCGTGTCGTACTGCCATAGAATATGGTAGTACCACACTATTGCATATTATCGTCGCAATTGCTGAGTAGTGAATTGTATTGATTTGTAAACCTAGTTAATGTTGCAATACAACTGTTGATTGTATACCATTTGTTGGTTTCACACTAAATTGTTTCACTTTGGGAATCGACACGTAACAATTGCAAACATTCTGCTTCTGTCTACAATTCTAAAGAACTGTTAATGGACGGACAGACAGGTGTTGCTGATGCTGCAGAGACAACTACAATCGTCATCCATGAAGTCAAAGTCGTTACAGATGTTTCCGAATCGATGTGAATCTGTATTGAATAAAAGAATCAGTATCACAACTAATTCATTCATTATCGATGTGAAATGGCACGGTCTGTATAGAGTGATCCAGCCCAGCTGACGCAGCGCCGTATAGCTACAATGTGTCAATACACATATCGTGTTGCACTGTATAGCGTAGATATATATACTCGTAGGCTCACGGCGAGTTATGTTCATAAAGGTTGTTAATCATGTACAGTGTCTTAATTTATCTGTGTGATGAGATGTAGGGTAAACGAAATACAGTAAACTACGGTTATAACGAACCCAATGGGATCGCTAATATCAGTTCGTTATAACCGTAGTTCGTTATAAGCATATATACAACAAATGCCCGGAGCCAAAAAAATAAATTCGTTATATCCGTCTGTTCGTTTTAAATGTAGTTTACTGTACAACAATCTAATACCCCGGTCACATGCGCCTCTATACATATATGTCCATATGTGCATACGAGTGTAGAAATATATACGTGAGTATACTTGTCATGTGAACGCGTTTACTCATGTGTGTATATTTACACCAGGAGCAAATTTGCATCATGCTTGGAGCAGGTGCAAATGTAAATGTAAATTTGCAATGTGTGTATATGTTGCAATGTGAACGTTTATGTTAACGTAAGATGATGATCTGATTAATATCTGTTCTTTTGCCAACACCAAACAAATTGTCCACAGTTGCCAACTTTTATGGGTATATACAGAGTTGAGCGGACGGTGTTTTCTTTTGGTTTCAAGGAGTCAAAACAAATTAAATCAAACACGTTGCTTCATACGAAAATATTCGGTGAAGTAACTCTCCTCTCATTCAAATTTGATTGGAAAACAACCTGTTTTGTGTTGAAAGTCGTGAACAGACTGACGAGTATGTGTGCCTTAAACTGTTTACATACTTTATTTACATACCTAAGTTGGGTTTCATGTGAACGCATAGTAAATTTACATATACACACGTATGTATAGCTACACATGTGCAAAATTACTTACGTTAGTAAATGCTGTTCATGTGAACGGGGCATTACTTACTAAATGTTTAAGATTTAACGAACGCTTCCAGCAAATGCTGATTTCGCACTGAAATTGATGTTTTATCATAGTTGTATCTGATTAAAATGATAGTAAGTCAGAACGTGATTATAAGCACACACTTGCTTCTTGCATTCATGATTCCGGTTTTATTAAATGTATTTTCTTGCCACCAGTGTCGCCAGGCTCGAGGTAGCGATATTCCCGTGTGTCACCGTCGACGAAGTTGCCAGACACAATGATGCTGTGATGCAAACATGACATAAAGAAAGTCAAGTTAATTATAATCGAAATGCGCCTTTTGTTAATCTATCGGTTCCCCTATGAAGTATATTGTGTTTATGGGCTGTTTTACTGCCAGGTGTACTGCGTCAGTGTTAGAGGCGGTGACAAACTGGCGGCAGTGACAGTGACAACACATGTCAAGTTGGTAGCGATTGCAACGTGCGTGGCGAGTGAAAATATGCTCGAAAGCGACATCAACATTTCAGAGATACCTCATCACAGGTACAACGTTAGGTTTTAACAGTGCGTCAGTTGTCAGGTCAAAGTCAAAAGACTTTGATCAATGAACGAGTCAACATCTTTACATTCAAATCGACATGACGTCTACAGGCATATATAGTACAAAGTTGCTTGAAATGAACTTTGTGGTGCATTATTGCACTAGCGATGGGACACGTGCCGACACCAACGCACCGACACCGACATCGACGTCACAATCATGCAGACTCACAAACGACAAACAAAGTATTGTGTGGGTTGCCTTTTCGTCACTTGCAACCCGAGACTAGGGTCTATCTACCATTAGTGACAGGTCGGACGGATAGTCAGTCCAACATTTAGTCCCAGAAATACAGTTATCTTATTAAAAAATATATATCTACAAAATAAATTTTTTTAATCCAAATGGAGCACAGAACAATGCTTAATTTCAAGAACTGAGGCTTGCCAAATCATTGTAGACTTGAGTTGGATCCATGTTTTAAATTATTCCATTGGGTTTGATTTTAAACAGTTCGCTGGTTGCAACGAATATCCGGGCTCGATTCCCAACATGGTTACATAAGTCTGTCCTCGATGTCCCCAGATGTGATATAGCTGGAATAATGTTCATTCACTCACTCACTCACTCAC